TGTGGGGGGGTTTAATCAGTCTTAGTGAAGATAGTGTCCTGTCCCGTAACAGCAGAGTGCTAGGAGGAAAGATTTGGAGAAAAGCTGTGTGTTTATATTATTTGAGGGGGTGGTCCACATGAAAGCAAGGGATTTGGCATCTCTGGAAGGGTTCAAGGGCAGGTTGGAGGGAGCTTTGAGCAACCTGGTCTGGTGGGAGGTGTCCCTGCCCAGGGCAGGGGGTGGGATTGGATATTCTTTAAGGTCCCTTCCAACCCAAACTGTTCTGTGATTCTATCTTTGTGTCCACAGCATCTCTGTGGCCTCATCCTTCCTCCTTTGGAAGGGGCTGAGGTGTTTTCTGTGCTGTGTTCCATCTCCTCCACAGGCAAAAAAGGTGGAATAAACCCAAGAAACCTTTAAATTGTAGAATCATAGAATCATTCAGGTTGGAAGAGACCCTTGGGATCATCGAGTCCAACCATCTACCCAACTCCACAAAGTTTTCCCCTACACCATATCCCCCAAAACCAGAGCTGCCTGTTTTGGGGGTAGACGTTGGTGTCAATCTATGTGGTCATAGTGGCCCCTCTCATTACTGTGAACGGCACGACTGTGACAATGTTCTTCTGGGGCAGGTCCCATCTCTGTGGGGGCCAACTGCCCATGTGGTGGTCTCTGGTGGTCTTGGAGACATGGCCATGCTCAAGCATTGCTTTGAGATCCCTGTCCAACCCATAGTCCTCTGTTTCTCTGGTCTTGTCTAGATGCCTGAATGCAAAATCAGGGTCTGTGTGCCCAGGAAAAATGCTCCCTTGTGAAGCGTACAGAAAAAAAGAACATCTTGACTTTTACTGGAAAAGAAAAAAAAGGTTTTAATTGATCATTCTCTGCTTAAAATGGAATTTCTCAAATTTCAAGTTTTGGTCTTTTTATTTTCCAATAAAATAAGTCCAACGCTTTCAAGGAAATCAGATGCGATCCACGAGCTTTCTCCATTTAAATGAAAGCACAATTTTCCCTTGAAAAAATAATTTGAATGGGCATTTTTTCAAGCTGTCCTAGCAGGGATTTTTGTGGTTCAGCCTGAAGGGAGGAAGCTCCGTTGGAGAAACATGGAGCAAAAGCAGAGCTTGGGGAGTCCAGGACAGCAGAGCATTATCAGGGACCAGCATTTCTGCAAGAAACTTGAATTTCACACCTTCACTGGGTGTTAAATCGTCCCAGGGTTGTGTTTTCTGCGCTGGTCAGGTGGGTCCAGGGGCAAATCCTGGTGTTGGGAACTGGAGGCTTTGCCCTGCGCATCCCATGGGGCTTGATTTGAAGAGATGGGCTGTTCCTAAGACATGAATGCTACAGAATCTCCCCAAAAATGCTTTTTTCTTGAATGGGCGGGCAGGGAATGGTCCAGAAATAGACATTTTATACACCAGGGTATGGATATGCAGGTCTCCCATGCGAGGAACCAGGGGCTGGTCTCACCCCCTGCAGCCCCCGGGGGTTATTCAGAGGTGATAAGTGTGTAGACTTTCACTTTATTAAATATAGAGGCTGGAGATGCTTAAATTTTCAGTAGGTGGACCCAACTTGTTCTCATTTCCACCACTATTTTTCAGTTTGTCAGGAGTGGAGACTTCAACAAAACCTACTTTCACCCCCGTGGCAGGGACTGAGGGCCACCTCGTGTGTGAGGACTCCTCAGTTCTTCTTCTAATTGAAACAATCCGAAGTATATATATAAATTTATGTCTTTGCAAATCATCCAGGGGAGAAGGAAGTCTCCCTAAAGTGGAAGGAAGGGAAAAATGTGTGTTAAGGTCCTTCTGGGCCCTTTGATGAGATGGTGGCACTACTAGAGGTGGTGTTGACCAATCCCATTCACCGTGTCCCGCTTGGAAATTTAAGCAAATCTAAAAGATTATCTGTTGAAATACGTTCCCCAAATCTCTTCACTCCATGGGGCTCCCTTGTGGCTCCCCAGGTCTCACTGGAGACATGAAAGATGGGTCTGTGTCTGTTTTTTCTCCACCTACCTCCATTTTACGTATTTTACACCCAATTTGGGCAGGGACAGACGCTGAAACAAAAGCAAAGTGGAAGCTCTTTCCAATCCCATTTCTTCCCAAATTATACGTATGTGAACCCAACGTACACGTGCTCTCATTAGAGTTAGGGTTAACCTTTCTTTTTTTCTTGACAAATAGTAAATTCACTCAAAAATGTGGCAGAGAAATGACTCACAAATACCCGTCTAATTTGGCAAGTGTGTTTTGGCCAGAAAGGAGTGATTTTTTTTATTTTTTTTATTTTTTTTTGATGTAGAAATGTTTTGCTTTGACATTTTTCAAAATAAACCCTTTTGACCCTTCTTTCTGTATAGGGGATTTTCAAAAAAAAAAAATTGACCGAACCGAAGAGAATATAATGTTCTGTTCAACTGAAAGAATAAACTCTCAAATTAAAAGAATGAATCAAAGTGAAACAGAAGACTGTTTTACATCAGCAAAAAAATTAAGTTGACCCAAAGCAGTTTTTTTGTTTATATTTGGCTCTTTTTTTTTTTTTTCTGACAACTCTCCGAGGAGTCAGTTACTTTTGACCCAAACTGCAAGTTTTTCCTGCTGTTCTTTTTTTTCTCCCTTATTTTAACCACCGAGGCCACAAACCTATTATATTCAGGGAAAAAAACTCCCCTCAAATTATAGGCAGGAGCCCTGCGTTTGCTCTTTTATTTCTCCAGGGGAAGGCAGTTTGCTCACACCTACATCTTTTAGCTTCCTTTCTGGTCAGGCAAACCCACTTTGAGGGCAGTAATGGCTTAAAAAAAAATAAGAATAACATCAATAAATTATATTTTTTCAATAAAAATAACTCCTGGTTGCGGGCGCTACCTTAAATTATCGGAATGCCAGATATTTCTCGAATATTTGGGGGGAAAAGCCTGAGATTGCACTAAGTAGCCCTTTGCTTTATATCTTTATTTATCTCCCTGCTTGTTTTGGGGCTGTTTTGGAGGCTGCTCGGATATTTCAGCCCCAAACACCCCCCCTGGGTGTAATTTTGGGTGGGTTTTCCTCTAGGCAAAAGCCCCCCTAATTAGCACCCAGGCCCACCCAGCCCCACGCCTGCTTTAAATCATCCCCCAAACCCAAGACCCACATAAAGGGGGGTGATGTCAGCCCCGGGGCGGCTGCCCATCCACCTTTTCCACCCAAATTTCCCCCTTTCCACCTCATCTACTGCCAAATTCCTACACCCCGGGGCTGGGATCGCTTCCACGGCATCCGAATCCCACATAGAGAGGGGGACCCAACCCCCCAGCCCATCTGTTCTTCCCACATTTGACACGAAAACAGCTTAAAAAATACCTTATAAATTCAAGTTCATACTCTCATCCCATTAACCATCACCTTCTCCTTGGGTTCTCCCAAACCAAGCCCCTTCGTGGCATCTGCGGCTCTTTAGGTTGAGGTTAAAGCTGTTTTTTCCCTTCTCCCCCCCCCAAAAAAAAAATTGCCCAGTGACCACAAGGACCTTGGCTTGACATAATTTTCAGGAAGTCTTAAATTCTGCTTTTTTGCCAGGTTTCCCAGGTCAGGTACACAAAGCCTGACCTGTGTGAATAATGGTTTCTGTGGTTTACGGGCAGTTCCTAAAAGCTTAATAATTAAGAAAGTGCTTGTGGCTCAGTCCAAATAATTCTGTTGATTTTTCTCAGCTTGTAAAAAAAAAAAAAAATAAAAAATCTGAAGGGTTTCTTATCGAATCAGACTCACTTCACTCTGTAGGGAATTTCTTTTTTTTGCCGTTTCCACGCTGATTTTTCCATCTAAATTTAAAAGGTGACAAATTTAGCAATGGCAATCTACCTAGAAAATCACAGACGTGGGAGAAGCCCAATCTGTGCCCGGGTTGTGTCTGAAAAAGCCCAAAGGGGACTATTTTTACTCCCTCCAAATTGTTTCCTTTTGGAACAATTTGCGAACCCAGCGTGACCTCGCCATCCCTTGTGCTGTTTGTGGATCCCTGACAATGCTTTTTGGGGGAAAAATGGCACACAGGTGTACCCAAAATGACAAATCCTGCCTTTCCCCCATTTTTATTTCTCTTTTTCTCCAAATACCAGGGATTTCCCCCCAGGATAAGCCGGTGAGGGCAGCAAGCCCCGCGTGTGCTGGTGGAGAGTGGCTGCCAGCGCCGTAAAACCTATTTTTTTGGGTGATTTTCTATTTTCTTTCCTGTTTTTCTGGCTTGCCTGGCAGGAGGAGAGCATTCTGCCACGGCTGGGAAGATGAAAACAAGGGAAACTTTTACCGGTGACTTGGAGGCATCCAAAAAAAATCATTTGTGAAGCGGTTCGGAGCCGGAGATGTGTTCAGAAATGGGATTTTTTTATTTTTTTTTTTCAATAGTGCCATTCATCTGGGAGCCCAAAGCCCTTTGCTGGGGAGGAAGACTCATTTCCATGGGGGGAAGCAGGGGTGACATGGCCAAGGAGCAGCCCACAGCCCCTGTCCCCTGGTGTCCCCTCTTCTCATCTCCTGGAGGAGCTTGGATGTGGGTAAATTGGGCCAGGTCTTGCTTTGGTCCAAAGCATCCAAGCTCTTCCGAGGCACAATGATGGTTATAAAATCCATTCCACACCAAAATTTTGTTGTTTTACACCACTAATAACAATGCTTATTATTTTTAATTGCTGAAATGAGGCAAGACTGTGACTTTTAGGTAGGAGGAGGACGTTGGGGAAGGAGGCAGCAAGAAAATAAGTAGGAGACTCGTGGCTTTGGTTGTGGAGGAGAAAACTGGAAAGACCCCTAGGGGGGAGGAAAAAATAATATTATTTTCAAATAACAGTTTTCTGTTAGAAATGCCCAGACTCTGGATATTTCTCCTCTTGCAAGGTGCTGGCATATTCTTTTCAAAGGAAGCCTGAAACCTTTTAATGAGAAATATCAAAGGAAAGGTTTTTTCTTTCGCTGACATTTTTCACCAAACCAAAATATGTTTCTTGACAGGCTCCGAAGTGACCCAGATCCTCCATCCAAAGGCAGGCGGGTCTCGAGGAGAACTTACCAACATATCAAAGAGCTCCAGGCCAGGACTTTTCCTTTCCACTTTCCCTGCAGCTGCTGCCATTCCTCTCAAGAAACATGAAAATAAGGTAAGGAAAATGCCTCCTTGTGTATGTTTTTAGTGCTAATGCCTTGGAAGAGCTTTTCTACATCCCTCGTCCTGAGGGTATTTGTTGAAACGACACAGGGCTCGTGGTGGCAAAGATTTTGGCCATGAATTGAGTGTTGTTTCTTTTAACTGCCTTTGAAAAATCCTCTTTGAGGGTGTTGTGGAAGACGGGGGTGGCCACATCCAGCAGTAAAACTGGAGAAAGGATAAAATTGGGGAAGAAATGGGATTGTCATCGGCTGGATGTGGCTTTTTGCAGAACACTCTGCCCCCAGGCTCAGAATAGAGCCATAGAATAGTCCAGGTTGGAAGGGACTGTTAAGATCATCAAGTCCAACCATCAACCCACCACTGCCCAAACCACCACTAACCCATGTCCCTCAGCACCACATCTGCCCGGCTTTTAGATCCTTTCAGGGATGGTGGCTCCACCACTTCCCTGGGAAGCCTCTTCCAGTGCTTGACAACCCTTTCATTGAAGAAATTTTTCCTAATATCCATCCTAAACCTCCCCTGGGGCAACTTGAGACCATTACCTTTTGTCCTACCAGGAGAAGAGACCAACCCCACTTCTGGAGTGGTCAACGTGAGACCATTTCCTTTTGTCCTACCGGGAGAAGAGACCAACCCCACTTCTGGAGTGGAGCATCTTCTGGAGTGGAGCATCTTCTGGAGTGAGTCCTGTCCCTTCTGCAGGCTTGAGGCTTTTTTTCCCCCATGGTATCTCCAATAATCCTCCATAATAATAATCCTCAATAATCCTTCTCCTCCAGAGGAGGCACAAGGGGTGGGTGAAAGCCTCGCTGATCCCCGCACAGAAAATGTGACAGAAGTGGGAAAAACGTGGTTTCTTCATCCCAAGCCCCAAATCATGGAGAATGACATTGCAGAGTACTCCTTTTTTTTTTATCTGCTTGCTGGTTTTTTTTTACACAACGAGGTTAGAAAGACCAGAAAATGGGTCTCCTTTTTAGCAGGAGGAGGGGGGAAAAAAAAGCCACTGTCAGGAATTTGTGTGAAGTCTATGATTTGCGTAACCTTGTTCCTGATGTTTTTACCAAGTGCTTTGAGGGGAACTGGGCTTTCTGAGTATTTTTTCCAGGAATGTGGAATCTCGTTTGGCTTATATGTGTGTATATATATAAATATATATATGTATGCACATGTATGGAGATGTATATATAGGTTTCATAGCACCGAGTGCAGCGCAAGGACGTCAAACCCCATGTCATTTGTTTCCCTTCTTAATGATCTCTCTCTGGAATCCCGATTGCTTGAGCTATTCCAAAAATGCAGGCGATGTCTGTGCTCTGGATGGATGGAAAGTTTTCCCTGTCAATGGCCTTTCCAGCTCCTCGGTAGCAGCTTTACCATCACGGTAGCCATTAGCAGCTCGTATCAAAGAAGGAAGGGGGCCTGAAGCACTGGGATCATCTAAGCCAAGACCCAATCCCTGTTTTACCTGCGAGCATCCCCCTGAAATGATTCTTGCAAGAGAGGAGGAGGAGGAGAAGGTGGGTGGTGTTCCCTAAACCCACACCACCCATCACTGCAGAGCCTCGCAGTGATTTGGGAGGATCGTTCCCGGGATGAATTTCCAAATTGCTTAAGAAGCTAAGCCCTAAATCCCTTTAGGATTAAAGGCTTTTTTTTGGCACTTGGGGGAGAATGCTAGCCTTTGGGAGCCAAAAAGAGCCACGATTTTAGGCTGTTTCTTTGAGCCTTAGCAAAGGGTTCCCTTCATGATGGTCCCAGCCAAGCCCCGTTGGGGTGTTGGAGGGCTCTGTATCTGAAGCTGCATCTCCTCCTGCATAGGAATTAGCCTCCTAAGAGGAGTCCTGTTGCCAAAAAACAAGAAGGTTTGGGCTTTTTTCTCTGTTAGGTTTTTTTCAACAAAGATCTGAAAAACTTGAAGGAATGTGGGGGGGAAAAAAGGTTCATCAAATTTTGCCATGGGAAGAAGACATAATTTCCTGAGGAGGCTGGAGATGTTGGATGGATCCAGACCTGGGGTTAGTTTTTTCCTTGTTTTCCAAGGCGTTCAGGACCAGGATAGAGTCAGGTCACTAACCATGGGACACTGTTTTGGGGTGAAATCCAATTATTGCAACTGTCTTGAGGATCAGGCTTTGCTTTGGGATCCCCCCCAATGTCACCTCAGTGGAAGGACCAGGAGATGTTCCTACCCCCAAAACCTACCAGGGGACACACTGAGACGTGACCAACAGCCTGGGGGGAGCCTCTTTTCCCAGCCCCCTCTGAATTCTGATGGTAACAAGGAGGCTGCTTTTATCTCTGCGGGTATTAGCGCTGCTATAAACCTGATAAAGCTGGAGTTACCATAAAAATTCAAGAGGTGGGACTCCCATCAATCGGACACTTCGGTGCCACATATGGAAATAGTGCAGAGACAGGGCTTTTTTTTTCTTTTTTTTTTTTTTTTCCTCCCCCCCTGCTTTGTAACAGCCACCGCTGCAATTTAAAGAGAGAAAGAGAGGTATTCCAACTATTTTTGTCTTTAAAAGGAAATACTGACTAACTTATGGATAAGACATTAACCCGGGCCTAGACCACTCGTGGTCGTTAAAGAGCCCTCGGCACTATTTGCGGGAGGGGAGGGGGGTGTTAGCCTTGGACTCCAGCCTAAATTCCAGCTTAAGGAAATGCGTCCCGACTACCTAAAATTCCACCTGTGTTTTTAACTCGGTACCGGGTCTGTATCCCCAACCATCGATCGATAGGCCTGAAGGCCCTTCGACAGCACCACCAGCAAGAAAGTGGCTACTTCCTTCTGCCATGTGGCTAATTTGGCTGGGAATTCATTGTTCATGGCTATTTTGGCTGGGAATCCATTGTTTGTGGCTATTTTGGCTAGGAATCTGTTGTTTGTGGCTACTTTGGCCGGGAATCCTCTGGTCTTTATGGCTACTTTGGCCAGCAATCCTCTGGCCTTTATGGCTACTTTGGCCGGGAATCCTCTGGCCTTCGTGGTTATTTTCACTGAGAGTCCATTGTTCATGGCTATTTTGGCTGGGAATCCATTGTCCGTGGCTAAATTGGCTGGGAATTCTTTCTTCATGGCTATTTGGGCTGGGAATGTGTTGTTCATGGCTAATTTGATCCACTGTTCATGGCTAATTTGGCTGGGAATTCATTGTTCGTGGCTATTTTGGCTAGGAATGTGTTGTTTGTGGCTACTTTGGCCAGCAATCCTCTGGCCTTTATGGCTACTTTGGCTGGGGATTCGTTGTTTGTGGCTACTTTGACTGGGAATCGTCTGGCCTTCGTGGCTATTTTGGCTGGGAATCCATTGTTCTGGCTGGGAATTCTTTCTCTGTGGCTATTTTGGCTGGGAATGTGTTGTTCATGGCTAATTTGGCTGGGAGTCTGGCTGGGAGTCCTCTGGCCTTTGTGGCTACTTTGGCCCGGAATATGGCTACTTTGGCTGGGGATTCGTTGTTTGTGGCTACTTTGACTGGGAATCGTCTGGCCTTCGTGGCTATTTTGGCTGGGAATCCATTGTTTGTGGCTATTTTGGCTAGGAATCTGTTGTTTGTGGCTACTTTGGCCGGGAATCCTCTGGTCTTTATGGCTACTTTGGCCAGCAATCCTCTGGCCTTCGTGGCTATTTTCACTGGGAGTCCATTGTTCATGGCTATTTTGGCTGGGGATCCATTGTTTGTGGCTAAATTGGCTGGGAATTCTTCGTGGCTAATTTGGTTGGGAATCCACTGTTCATGGCTAATTTGGCTGGGAGTCCTCTGGCCTTTGTGGCTACTTTGGCCGGGAATCCTCTGGCCTTCGTGGTTATTTTCACTGGGAGTCCATTGTTCATGGCTATTTTGGCTGAGAATCCGTTGTTCGTGGCTAAATTGGCTGGGAATTCTTTATTTGTGGCTATTTTGGCTGGGAATCCATTGTTCTGGCTGGGAATTCTTTCTCTGTGGCTATTTTGGCTGGGAATGTGTTGTTCATGGCTAATTTGGCTGGGAGTCCTCTGGCCTTTGTGGCTACTTTGGCCCGGAATCCCCTGGCTTTCATGGCTAATTTGGCTAGGAATCTGTTGTTCGTGGCTAATTTGGCCGGGAGTCCTCTGGCCTTTGTGGCTACTTTGGCCCGGAATCCCCTGGCTTTCATGGCTAATTTGGCTAGGAATCTGTTGTTCGTGGCTAATTTGGCCGGGAGTCCTCTGGCCTTTGTGGCTACTTTGGCCCGGAATCCCCTGGCTTTCATGGCTAATTTGGCTAGGAATCTGTTGTTCGTGGCTAATTTGGCCGGGAGTCCTCTGGCCTTTGTGGCTAATTTGGCCAGGAATCCTCTGGCCTTTATGGCTACTTTGGCTGGGGATTCGTTGTTTGTGGCTACTTTGACTGGGAATCGTCTGGCCTTCGTGGCTATTTTGGCTGGGAATCCGTTGTTTGTGGCTAATTTGGCTGGGAATCCATTGTTCTTGGCTATTTTCGCTGGGAGTCTGTTGTTTGTGGCTATTTTAGCTGGGAATCCATTGTTTGTGGCTATTTTGGCTGGGAATCTGTTGTTCGTGGCTACTTTGGCCTGGAATCCTCTGGACTTCATGGCTATTTTGGCTGGGGATCCGTTGTTCGTTTTCATGGCTAATTTGGCTAGGAATCTGTTGTTCGTGGCTAATTTGGCCGGGAGTCCTCTGGCCTTTGTGGCTAATTTGGCCAGGAATCCTCTGGCTTTCATGGCTAATTTGGCTAGGAATCTGTTGTTCGTGGCTAATTTGGCCGGGAGTCCTCTGGCCTTTGTGGCTAATTTGGCCAGGAATCCTCTGGCTTTCATGGCTAATTTGGCTAGGAATCTGTTGTTCGTGGCTAATTTGGCCGGGAGTCCTCTGGCCTTTGTGGCTAATTTGGCCAGGAATCCTCTGACCTTCGTGGCAAAATTGGCTGGGAATCCATTGTTTGTGGCTAATTTGGCTTGGAATCCATTGTCCTTGACTATTTTCACTGCAAGTCCATTGTTTGTGGCTATTTTCACTGGAAGTCCGTTGTTTTTGGCTATTTTCACTGGGAGTCTGTTGTTTGTGGCTATTTTGGCTGAGAATCCATTGCCCTTGGCTATTTTGCCTGGGAATCCATTGTTTGTGGCTATTTTGCCTGGGAATCCGTTGTTTGTGGCTAATTTGGCTGGGAATCCATTGTCCTTGGCTATTTTCACTGGGAGTCCATTGTTTGTGGCTATTTTGGTTGGGAATCCGTTATTCCTAGCTAATTTGGCCAGGAATCCTCTGGCCTTTGTGGCTCATTTGGCCATGAATTTGGCATCCCTGGCTAATTCATCCCCTTTGTGGGGAGCCAAACCCCTCACTTTTGGGGGTAGGGTCTATGGTTTGGCTCTCAAGCCTTTATCTTTGAAGGGCAAAGGCTTGTTCGGCGGTGGGATGACTCTTGTGGTGAAAATCCAGGATATTTAATTATCCAAATTCTAGAGGGGTGAAAGGATTAGGGGGTGGAACCAGTGTGTGTCTGGTCCAGCATCCCCAGTATCCCGGGCTGATTCCTCATGTAGAAGATGCTCTGCATCACCCTCCTCTCTGCTACTTAACGACTGGCCTCATAGTTTCAATATAGTGATTAATTACCCTTCGGGAGAGGTCGTTATCAATAACCCCTCCAACACCAGCTCATCATTATCCCAGGATACATCTCCATCCCCTCCTGCCTGGTGGGATGACGCCGCGGCTGTAGGAAAAGCCAGCCCTGTAAAACCAGTTAAAAACAATCCTTTTGGAGGAAAGGTGGTGATATTTGAAGCCAGTTATTTTATCTTCCTTCGGCTTTAAAGATAACACCCTACCAGCATGTGAAAGGGCATTGTTTTTCTTCTCTGGGTGTTATTTTTGGTCTTCATCCCCCTCCGCCCTCCCCGTTTTTTGGTAAAACTGTTAATGCTGAAAAGACAGATCAAATCACAGCTTCCCACCCTTTTTTTTTATCACTTCACCCCAGCCCTGGCACCTTTTAATGGCAGAAATGGGCTCAACTTTCCAGAAATGAGGCTCAGGTTCCCAAACGTGCAGAGAACTGCAAATTCAAGAGACTCTTTTCCTTTTTTTGGGGGGTTATAAATATTTGTCACACTTTGGCAGAGCACATTTCGCCTTGTCTTGATGAGCAGAGAGGGTCTGGTTCTGCCCCTGGTGTGGGGGTGGTGGGTTTTAGCAAAGGGGTATCCTCTGTTTGATGGGGCAAATGGCAGAAGAGGAGCTTTATGGATGAAGATGGTGGTGGGACTGGAAGCAAAGGCTGCCCTGCTTTTAAGAGCCAGAATTTGACTTTAAGCTCCTCAAGGAGTCCCAGGCCATGGGACTTGGTGTCTGAGCTGAAGGAACAGGTCCTGAGGAACCTCCAGCTCACCTCATGCTTGGCTGTAACAGGGTAGTGAAGTGGGTTTTATCTTCATTTCTCCATCGTGGCAGCACCCCCTGAATCGATGTCCCTGCTCAGTCCATCCTACTTCTCACTTGAACTAGGAAGGAGATGTTTCCCATCCTCCTGATACCCCTGCAAGAAGGATATGGGGCACAAACTTGAAGGTAAGAAGTTCCACCTAAACATGAGGAGGAACTTCTTTGCTGTGAGGGTGGCAGAGCCCTGGCAGAGGCTGCCCAGGGAGGTGGTGGAGTCTCCTTCTCTGGAGACATTCAAACCCCACCTGGACACGTTCCTGTGGGACCTGCTCTGGGTGGCCCTGCTCTGGCAGGGGGTTGGACTGGATGATCTCCAGAGGTCCCTTCCAACCCCATATCACTCTGTGATTCTGTGAGGTACCACAAGGCACAGTTGCTCTGCTTTCCACTCCTACTTGTACTTGCTGCCTGCCCACAAGGCATGGATGCTCTTCTTTCCACTCCTACTTGTACTTGCTGCCTGCTTATTTTTCAGGCAGGCACAAGCCCTGGGACACAGGAGCTTTTCAAGGACCAAGTGTGGCACGGGTGGGCCACCAAAGACAGAAGAATAAGCTCTTTCAGGAGAAGACAGAAGAACAAGCTGGTTTGTGTGTGCAAGAGAGAAACCATGTGTGTTTTGGTGAGTCTGGGTGTCTTGAGCATCCTCCCCTTGGGATGAGGGAGCAGGTCCCTTTGGGGACCGATGAGAAGATGGGTATTGACCTTCACGTGGGAGCTGGAGGAGCACGTTGGGGCCTGAGTGTGCCTGGCACGAGCTGGTGTTGCTTTCAGACTAGAATGGGTTTACATTTTCCACCTTCCAGGCAATCACAGAGGAAAGAGATTGTCTCATTTTCTTTCTTTCACATACATATATCTCGTCTCTCGGGTTGCCCAGGCAACACTGTATATGTTTGCAGCCTGGAAGGATCTGGGGATGGAAAATGAAGCCAGGGAGTGGACTGAGGGGAGAAATCCAGCAGGAATTTTCCTCTGGTCTTCTGCGGCCCATTGGTTAGCGCTAATTCAAGCCGGGTCCCCCCGAGATTAAGTCATCAAATCTGAGATTTCCATTTTTTTTTTTTTTTTATTATTTTAAATCAACCGCGGTCGCTCTTGGGAGGCCCGTTTTTCACGCTGGAAATGAACCTTCTGGGGGGGGGGGCTGTGGGAGGGGAGCCAGCAGGCAGGGTAAAGCACCATAGAAACACAAACAAGGTACAACATCTCGCTCCACGGGCTGGTGGAAAGCTTGGTGTGTGTCCCCCCCGGGGAGAAAAGGCTCCTTCCAGCTTGAGGCGAGGCACTGGGATAACCTGGATCTTCTCCGTGGCCACCGGGTTCATTGGTGGTGGCTCCTTGCATTGCTCTGGGGCTTGGGATGCTCCTGGTGCAGGGAGGAACCCACCTCAAGGAGGGAGGAACCCACCTCAAGGATGGAGGAACCCACCTCAAGGATGCTCGGGGGACAAATCCTGTGCCTGTAGACAAAGCTTCTGGTTGCACAGAGAGTCCTGTGGCACTGGAAAAAAGTCTTTATAAATTATTTTTCTCTCCCAGTTTATCATTCCCCACAAGCCTGAGCTGCTGTGGGATCTTTCTGCCTCCGTGCCAAGACCTTGAGCTTGCCCAGTGTCCACGGGCACTGTCCTGTGGACAGTTGGACACTGCCCCAAAGCCACAGCATCCCTCAGGCAAGGGAAGGGGGGACTGGAAGTGATTTTGTAGATGCCTTAATGAGCCAAAGAATGGTATTAATGAGAGTAATGAGTATCTATATAATTCAAGGCACATGGCTCAAAGTCAATGGGAGATCCCTGTCTGCTCTGGAGAGGTCTTCAGGCATAGCATCTTTTAATTTCTTACTGATTTTAAGCTTTATTTATTATTAAGGTACCTTGCAGCCTGTATTGCCCTGGCACTAACAGAGCTGGAGGCCGTGCTCGCCGTAACCATGCAGGAATCTCCCATCCATCCTTCCCACCCAGGAAACCCCCCCCCAAGTGCTGCCTCCAGCTCTGGGGCCACCAACAGCAGAAGGACGTGGACCTGTTGGAGTGGGGCAAGAGGAGGCCACGGAGATGCTGGGAGGGCTGGAGGACAGGCTGAGAGAGTTGGGGGGGTTCAGCCTGGAGAAGAGAAGGCTCCAGGGAGACCTTGGAGCCCCTTCCAGTCCCTCAAGGGGCTCCAGAAAAGCTGGGGAGGGACTCTGGATCATTGAGTGGAGAGGTCTAGGAGGAGGGGGAAGGGTTTGACCCTGAAAGAGGGGAGATGGAGATGAGATGTGAGGAAGAACTTCTTTGCTGGGAGGGTGGGGAGAGCCTGGAACAGAGAAGCTGTGGCTGCCCCATCCCTGGAGGGGTTCAAGGTCAGGTTGGAGGGGGCTTGGAGCAACCTGGTGTGGTGGGAGGTGTCCCTGCCCAGGGCAGGGAGTTGGAACTGGATGATCTTGAAGGTCCCTTCCAACCTGAACCATTCTGTGACTCTGTGATTTCACCAAATCCTTCCAACACCTTGCCCCCCATGATGAAAAAGCCCCTTCATCTCTCCCAAACATTTCAGGGGTTTTTCCTCAACCAGAAATGACCTTCTCTCTACCCCTTCCCCCTCCTCCCACCAACCCCTGCCTGATAAAGGCGATTTGTGTGGAAACTTCAAAACGCTTGGCAAAAGGTTGGTTTTTCTCTCCCCAGCTTTTCAGATCCTCGAGCAAATAAATAAGGCAAGAACTTCACAGGGACAGGGAAGGTGGTGGAGGTGATGGTGCCATTCCTGTTGGAGACCTGGCATTCCCCACCTCTGCTAAACGAGGGTCAGGGAGGCCATCTGGTACGTGTATTTCTAATCTCATCCCTTTATTTCACCAAATCAGGCTTGTTTTTTCCTTCTTTCTTTTTTACTGGTCTCTTGGGAACCGACTTTATCAACAGACGAACCCTCTGATGTTCAAAAATCCGCCCCACAAAGTAATATAAGATTTGATAAAAAACGTTGCTGATGCTGAAGTCACCCCGGGGTGTTTTTCCAACCTTCCCCTGTCCCCACTCCTGTCCCTGGGCCCTTCCATGAAGGTGACACTTGGTTTTGGGACAGTTTTAGGGACACGGAGAGGGGGTGACATCCATCTAGGGACATGGAGAGGAGGTGACATCCATCTAGGGACATGGAGAGGGGGTGACATCCATCTAGGGACACGGAGAGGAGGTGACATCCATCCCTACCTGGGGAGAGCAAACTTGGCTGGGTTTGGGGGTGGTTACAGCCCCGGAGCGTTTTCAGCTGTTGGGAAAAAAGGCTGTAAAACCCCATTCCCACCATAAACAGCCCTTCGGGGAGGGGAGGACATCAAATCGGGTATTTTTGCCTCTGGCAGAAAAACCAAAACCCCATGTGCCAGAGGATGGTAAAGCCCTGGACTAATCCCTGTAATTGTTTAAATACCACAGCCGGCGAGGAAATGTTTTCTGATCCCCTTAATCTTTGCTGTGAAAGAAAAGCTTTTTGTAACTCTATCCCCAGTGAGGAAAAAACACCCCGTTATTCCCAGAGCCCAAATACCAGCCTTTCCCTGGCCCTGGGCTCTGCTCAGCGCCCCCAGCAGCACCTTCACGGCTGAAGGTAACCTTTAAACCCTATAAAATATTTTAAAAAAACCTAAAAATTGAAGAAAAAAAAAAAAAAGAGCATGAGGTCAGAGGTCCAGCTCTGCAGGATCCCAAATCCCCCGGATTTGGGGATGCTGTGGGGAGCTGCCTGGCTGGTGAGGGGTCTGGAGAACAAGTCCTACGAGGAGAGGCTGAGGGAACTGGGCAGGTTCAGTTTTGAGAAGAGACGGTTCAGGGAAGACCTCATTGCCCTCTACAGCTCCCTGAAAGGAGGGTGTAGAGAGGTGGGGGTTGACCTCTTCTCCCAAGGGAAGAATGACAGAAGCAAAGGAAATGGTCTGAAGTTGGGGCAGGGGAGGGTTAGATGAGATCTTGGGAAGAATGACTTTCCTGAGAGGGTGGTCAGGCCCTGGACCAGCCTGCCCAGGGAGGTGGTGGAGTCACCATCCCTGGAGGGATTTAAGAACCGTGTAGACATGGCTCTTCAGGGCATGCTCTAGTGCCCAAGATTATTGGTTTGTGGTGGGGTGTTGTGTGTGGAGTTGTGGGGTTTAGTTGGTGGGTGGTGGTTTTGGGTTTGTTGGGGTTTTTTTTGTTGGTTTTTTTAATGTGGTTGGACTCGATGATCTCAGAGGTCCCTTCCAACCACTAAGGTTCTGTGATTCTGTGATTTGAGCCCCCTCGATATCCCGAGGAGCACATTTCCTCCGAAGGGGAAGAGAGGAAAAGCTCGTTGGGGAGGGAAGGGGTGGGTATTTTCTCCCGGCAGCTGACAGTGTAAATGCGTTTCCTGGCAGGCAGCTCCCTCTGTATTAAAATTCTTGATGAAGATTATTAAAGCGTGTTTATGAAAAGCCTGCGAGTGCTTCTTGGACTCCGACCTGCCTTCGCCCAGATGAGATGTTTGAGGGTTATTAAAACCAGCCCCCTCCAAAACCCACCCACCCCATTGGCAAAGTGAGACCGGGATGGTCCCAGTCTCCTCTAGCTGGGACCAATGTGGGGTGGCTGGGGACCACTGTGGGGTGACTACAGCCAGTACAACCCCTTGTCGTTCCCCAAAACCTCCTGCAAGTCTATTTGAGTAAGGATGTGCTGGTATCCCCTAGACCTGGGATGGAGGGAGGTGTGGAGGGTGGATTAGGGGCCATGGTGCTGCGTTGAACCCCCTCTTCCAGCCCCCATGGGGGCTATGGGGAGGACGTGGGGACCACCACGGCCACCAGCCCTCCTTTTGTGACAGCAAAGCCTTTGGAGGCACAAATACACCCAACTTTGTGCACACCTTGGATGTACCTCCTGCCCCAAACCCCCTGTGCCATCCCCTTTTTCCACACTCTCCTCCCTTTCCAGCCTGAGATAGGATTGTATTTTTTTTAACGTGGGAGACCAGGTTGTATATCTAAATATATGTCCTTAAAGAAAAAAAAAAGAAAGGTTTTCAAGAACAATGGTGGAAGCAGCCCAAAAATGTGCTAAGAAGGACGAATGCATTAGGACTGGAGTCCAAGCAAAATATCAGAAGGGTGAATCAGAAAGAAGGAAAGGAAGGGGGGAAAGAAAAAAAAAAAAAAAAAAAAGAAACGTATGGAGTTTTTAAAAAGCTATTTTTTCCTTTTAATGTTAATGGCAGCTTTTCAATTTGAGCTTTTGAGTGCTGGAGAAACGTGTCAACTGCTCCTGCCCCGGGGCCGCGCTTTGAGGGGATGCAAAAGCATCGACGCGGTGACACGTTCAAGCTGGTTCCAATCCAGCCCCGTTGAGCCGTGGCAAAGATGTCTCTGCTGTTATTGTTATTAATTGAACTCATTAATAACACGTTCTGCCCTTTCTTATGCCTTCCCCATCTCTGTGCGGCGTGACTCCCTGGTGGTGTCTGATTAGTGGGGCTAATTAGCCGCCGTGGTGGTTTGTAGATGTTAGACCCCACGTCTCTGGTTGCAGTCCCCCCTCCGTGGAATGTACCTCTTAGAAATAAACTGGTGGGAGTGTTTCGCAGTGGTTTCTTCAGGGGGACAAAGCTGAGTTGCTTTGCAGATCTTCCATCTGTAGGAAAAGGGAAGATGCACCAATGAGGGTGTTGGTCAACTGTTGGCTGAAGAGGAGCCAGCAGTGTGCCCAGGTGGCCAAGAAGGCCACCAGCATCCTGGCCTGGATCAGGAACAGCGTGGGGAGTAGGACTCAGGAGGTGATGTTCCCCCTGTACTGGGCACTGGTGAGGCCCCACCTCGAGGGTTGTGTCCAGTTTTGGGCCTCTCACCACAAAAAAGACGTTGAGGGGCTGGAGTGGGTCCAGAGAAGTGCAACAGAGCTGGTGAGGGGTCTGGAGCACAAGTCTTGTGAGGAGAGGCTGAGGGAGCTGGGGGTGTTGAGCCTGGAGAAAAGGAGGCTGAGGGGAGACCTTCTCACTCTCTCCAACTCCCTGAAAGGAGGGTGTAGCCAGGGGGGGTCGGTCTCTTCTCCCAAGGAACAGGCCATGGGACAAGAGGAAACGGCCTCAAGTTGCTCCAGGGGAGGTTCAGGTTGGAGATTAGGAAAAATTTTTCCATAGAAAGGGTTATCAAGCCTTGGAATGGGCTGCCCAGGGCAGTGGTTGAGGCACCATCCCTGGACTCTGAAGATATTCAAAAGCCAGGTTGACACAGTGCTTAGAGACATGGTTTAGTGATGGTTTTTATCAGAGTGAGGTTGATGGTTGGACTCGATGATCTTGAAGGTCCCTTCCAACGTGGACAATTCTATGATTCTATGAATTCTGTGATGTGTAGGAAAGGCGTTGGTTGAGCAGGAAGAAGTTTCTGGGTGATGTTGAAGTCCTAAGTGGTGTTTTCTGGAGTGGGGATGGTCCCATGTCCTTTGGAAATGGCAATCTGTGCATCACACTGGTTTGTTATAACTGGTTTTAGTGTCCTGGGGTTGCTGCACCCTTGAGCATCACTGTATGTGTCCTGTAGATCTCTCTTCTCTAAATCAGTGTGTGTTTTGGGCAGGTTAAAACCAAGTTTTCTGCCTTATCTCTCCATTTGGAATGGGCTGCCCAGGGAGGTGGTTGAGGCACCATCCCTGGAGGTGTTCAAAAGACGGGTTGATGTAGTGCTGGGAGGTCTGGTTTAGTGATGATGCTCCTTGTTTGTTGTGTGGGTGTCTATTTTTGTCAGTTAGGTTGATGGTTGGACAAGATGATCTTTAAGGTCCCTTCCAACCTAGAAGATTCTGGGATTCTGTGATTTCCCTCCTTCATTTTTTGATTAATCTATGCATTAGTTATTTAATCAAATTGTAGCTCAGGCCCCTTGTCATCAGAGGTTCCAGCTAAAAGGTGGCTGAGGCAGAGGGCAGATGAAGAGGCTAAAAAAAAAAAATACAAATTAATAAAAATCTTGGTTTTGATTGCATGGAAAGGGAAGAAAATCTCTTCTCCAGGCCGTGGTGGGAGGAGAAAGGGGGAGATCGAGCCCAAATTCATACTTACCCCTGGTGCCTGCGACGTCCATCAGGGCTGAAGACAATCTGTGTCTCATTAATCATCTGATATAAACAGAGGGAGACCCGCTGGAAGGGAGTGGTGTCACTGGATGGATGGCCCAGGGTTGGAAAATAAACATTTCAAGCTCTGCCCGGGCGTTTATTTTTGCTGAAAGCCTTGGCTGGGCGAGCAGCGGGGTACCCCTGCCCCAAACCCAGCCCCAGGAGCTCGAATTCGGGATGAAGGAGAAACCCACCAGAAAAAAAAAGTGCAAGAAGACCTTTTTTGGAAGCCTCACGGTCGGTGGTGACCTGGGGGAGGTGGCACTTGTAGATAGAATCCATGGATCTCCATCAAACACTCCCCGATGGATTTCCACAAACACCAGTTGGGTTTTTTTTCTTCAAACCTCTTGGTTTTTTGTTGTCTCCCCCCCTTTCCTCCCCATTTCCCCTCTAGAAAAACCCACCAGGTGCAGCCTGGGATCCCCGCTCACCCAAATATGCCTTTAATTCTGATTTATTAAGACGGTTATTGTAGAGATGATTAGAAACATACTCGGGGAGATTTAACAGCCTCGCAACAGAGATGTAGCCCTTGCAGAGCTGTTAATCCTTTATAAAGATGTTTTTAATCATGCCAGCATGTAACAGATGATAACTGTCCTATTAAAAGTAACGTAGAGCTGACAGCCTTGTCATATGGAATTGCAAGCTATTTTTTGTTTGTTTTATTTTTTATTTTTTCTTACAGCCTCGTTAACTTCTGCTGCTCAGGAGATACCACCAAAGCCACGAGTGGAGGGCTCAGCCCAAATATCCAAGATTTCCACGTCCCATGAGGATCCTGGTTGGTGGAGCCACTTGTTGTAGGAGGACCTTCCCCCAGGAGAGGACTTCCCCAAGACCCCTGGGGGTGAGTGGCTTTTTCTCCAGCCACGGACCTTCTCCTTGCTCAATTTTAGCATTTCTGGGTGCATCTTGTTCCATTCAGGTTGTGAGAGCAACGAGACAACACGCATAAAACTATATTAGTGCTTATAATTTCAGTAGCTGGGGGAGCTCTGTGAAAAATAAACCCCTTATATTTTATTCTGGTGCCTGCAGTGCGGCAGAAAAAGCTGTATTTCCATCTGCAGACCCAAAATGGGGCACAAAACCCACACACAGGTATCACTGCATGGGCAGAATAGCTCATAGCCTGGTAGCTCCAATCTCTCCAACATCAGGAATAGTAAAATCCATTAGCATTTCTGGTGGGGAGAAAAAAACCACATTTCCCCCCACCCACCCCTTCCCAACCACCCTCCGTTGGAAAATAAATGACATCACCTGGGTTCTTCATGCCCCTTCTGGCTTGACGTGCCATCCAACCATTCCCAAGGATGGGCTGGTTACAGGAGAAAGACAGGTTGGGAAGGGGCTGGAGGGGGTGTGTGTGTGTGTGTGTGTAAAAATTCCGCTAAATTCAATTATTTTAGCTGGAAAAATAAACCCTGGCCACAGCTTGAAGGCGGTGCCTCCCCTGCTTAGCACGAGATGCTGCCGTGCAGCAGGAGGGCTTGCTCCTGTCCAAGAGCTGCCCTGTGGTGAGCCAAGGGGAGGCAGATGTGGGGGGAGGACCCCCCTCCTTGCTCCCCCGACGTCCCCTCAGCATCATCCCCCCCATCCCTCCCGTCCCACGTGTCCCTCGGGGCGTCACGGGGAAAGGGGAACAACCCTTTGCTTCTGGTACCCCTGGGTTGGGGCCAAGGGTTGGGACAGCCCTGTCTGACCCCTTTTTGCGTCTCTTTTTGTCTCTGGGTCTCCAAATTAAGGGTTTTTGTCCCCAACCCTGCACTGCCCTGCTACCCCCCAACCCCCCTTGGCTGAGGGGGAGCCGTCGGGGCAGGACAAGGGGCTATTCTTTGTGGAGAACAGTGGGGGATCTCATAAGGGGTTCGGTTGGCCCTTGGCCACGTCCCACCACCCTCCTCCACACCTCGGTCACGTCTGGGCACTGGCATTTATGGGGACGGGGCTGTGTTGGGGGCACCAGGAGAGAATTGTGCACAGAGGGAAGGGTTGCAAGACGGGGGTCAGCTCTGGGGGAGATGGTTTCTGTGTCTGCTGAAGGGTCCTGGGTTCAAGGCTTGACTCCAACCCGTGTTGATATGGAATTTGTAACATACTTGGGTTGTTTGCACCTTTCTATAGTGGGATGGGGGCAGGGATGCTCTGGGCTGGTGGTTTGATGGTGAGAGGACAAGTGAAACACCCCCCTGAACCATTCTCAGCAGTGCTGTAAGCCCAGAATGATAGAATGGCTTGGGTTGGAAGGGACCTTAAAGTTGATCATCAAGTTCCAAGTTCTCAGCAGTGCTGCAAGCCCAGGATGATAGAAAGGTTTGGGTTGGAAGGGACCTTAAAGTTGATCATCAAGTTCCAACCCCCCTGTCCTGGGCAGGGACACCTCCCACCACACCAGGTTGCTCCAAGCCCCCTCCAACCTGCCCTTGAACCCCTCCAGGGATGGGGCAGCCACAGCTTCTATTCCAGGCTCTCACCACCCTCACACCAAAGAAGTTCTTCCCCACATCTCAGCTCCATCTCCCCTCTTTCAGGGTCAAACCCTTCCCCCTCCTCCTATGGCTCCCCTCCCTCATCCAGAGTCCCTCCCCATCTCTCCTGGAGCCCCTTGAGGGACTGGAAGGGTCTCCAAGGTCTCCCTGGAACCTTCTCTTCTCCAGGCTGAACCCCCTCAACTCTCTCAGCCTGTCCTCCAGCCCTCCCAGCATCTCCATGGCCTCCTCTGGTCCTGCTCCATCAGGTCCATGTTGGTGGCCCCAGAGCTGGAGGCAGCACTTGGAGGGGGTCTCCCCACAGGTGGGAAAAGGGCAGAATCCCCCCACCTTGCCCTGGTGGCCACGCTGCTGGGGATGCACCCCAGGGTGCGGGGGGGCTTTCTGGGCTCCCAGCTCACGTTGTCAACTCACGTTGAGCTTCTCACCTGATCCCACCACAGCCCAGATTCTCCTTTTCTCTGAGTTTGTTTTCCCTTCATTGCTTCATGAGTCTTCTGCAAGAGGGTGGGCTCCATCAGAGATGCTCCGTGGCGTGGAGTTGGTTGGGTACCAGGAGCCCGGGGAGGATGCAGGAGCAAAGGAGGATGCTCAGGAGTTGCTATGGGCAACGTGGAAAGAAAAAGAGGGGGAAAAAAAATCAGGGCTTTGGCTAAGCCCAGTCAAGGATGGTAGTTCTTTCCATCCGTACGGACCGTTTCCTCTGTGAAATGCAATCTTTACTTTTAAAAACAGTGATAATGTGCATTTTGCATGGCTAAAATCCCAGAAGGAACGAGGTCTGGGGAAGGGGGAGGAGAAGAAACAGGACTGTGCTGGTAACCCCAGGGTTTAATGTTTTAATTACCCGGTCTAGTCGCCTGGGGCTATCAAAAATTGCATTGGGCTAGTGCTGGGGAGAGGGTGAGGGTGTCTGTAGGAGGATGTGGGTCGCAGGAGAGATGGGGAGGGTCCCTTGGTCAGGGAGGGGAGCCCTAGGAGGAGGGGGAAGGGTTTGACACTGAAAGAGGGGAGATGGAGATGAGATGTGGGGAAGAACTTCTTTGGTGTGAGGGTGGGGAGAGCCTGGAATAGAAGCTGTGGCTGCCCCATCCCTGGAGGGGTTGAAGGGCAGGTTGGAGGGGGCTTGGAGCAACCTGGTGTGGTGGGAGGTGTCCCTGCCCAGGGCAGGGGGTTGGAACTGGATGATCTTCAAGGTCTGTTCCAACTCTAACCATTCTATGATTCTATGGCTGGGGCAATTTGCAGGAAGGACTGAAAGCAGCTGATGTGCAGCCTTAGCCATCCTTTGATTTTTTTAATTTTATTATTTTTTTCTTTTCTTTCCAGTTAGAAAAAGCTCATCTGGGCAGTTTTTCCCTTCCCGTGCTGCAGGAAGGCCAAGCAGAACCTTCCTCCAGGGTGGCCCACTTTCCATAGCTGCCCTCTGGGAGACTTTCCCCCCCCTCTTCCCTCCCTCCCTCCTTCCTTCCCCATCTCTTTGCAGCTCTTCTCCCCATCCAAGCATCTGTCGAGGGGGGACTGTGGCCCCATGGACCTTTTTGGAGCCCGGAGCAGCCATAAAGCTGTCGGCAGAGGCAGCGGCGCGGTCCGGGTGGCTGGGGGATGCTCTTAGGGGAGGCTGAGCTTCCATGGTTGAGCCTCTCACCCTCCATCACCCCCACCAACGTCTGCCAGGAGACAAAACTGGCTCTTCTCCCCACCGGCGAGGCGGCCAGACGTGGGCCAAGACGTCTGGTGGAAGGAGGAGGGAAGAACATGTCTGGGAGCTCCAAAGGGGGAAGGAAAAACCCTTCACCGACCTTCTTTCCACACCCAAAGCTCCATCTGGGTCCCCCCGTGGCCACCTGGAAGGGGGAAGAGCATCCCTGATGAAACACAGGTGACAAGATGAGTTTGTAGCCTCATCCTTGCTTCGTGGGTGGGGAAATCGTGGCCACCTGGAAGGGGAAAGAGCATCCCTGATGAAACGCAGGTGACAAGATGAGTTTGTCCCTTCCCAAGGTGTAGCCTCATCCTTGCTTCATGGGTGGGGAAACTGAGGCAGGAGGGTCCCCAGGGCCAGCCCACCACCAGCCTTCTCTCTCCCCCAAGAACTTTTGGGGGAGAAAAAAAAAAAAGCCCCAAGGCTTTTGAAGAAATCAGGAGTTTTCATCCCATCAGAAAGTCAAAACCCTTCTGAGTTCCGGGACCGTCTTTAAATTTGGAATTTCACTTAAAGAGAAAGACTCACAGGAGGAAATATTCCCTTTTGTCTTTACAAAAAGGACGGGATACGAGAGGGGAAGAAGGGCAGAGCTCAAGGCACCGACCCGCCTGAAACACAACATTTTTATAACCCCGGATAGGTGTTTTCATCAAATTGGAACACGCCTGCAAAATGCTGTCTGGCAAAACTCTCTTCAGCTGGAAAAACACTGTCTAACTCACTCTCCCTTCGAGTTATCTCTCCAGACCTCATACCAACCCCCTCACCCAGAAGAAAGAGGGAGGCTTTTGAAGAAATCAGGAGTTTTCATCCCATCAGAAAGTCAAAACCCTTCTGAGTGACGGGACCGTCTTTAAATTTGGAATTTCACCTGAAGAGAAATACTCACAGGAAGAAATATTCCCTTTTGTCTTTACAAAAAGGACGGGATACGAGAGGGGAAGAAGGGCAGAGCTCAAGGCACCGACCCGCCTGAAACACAACATTTTTATAACCCCGGATAGGTGTTTTCATCAAATTGGAACACGCCTGCAAAATGCTGTCTGGCAAAACTCTCTTCAGCTGGAAAAACACTGTCTAACTCACTCTCCCTTCGAGTTATCTCTCCAGACCTCATACAGAGCCGTGTTTATTCACTCCCTGTTCAGATGGTCTCCACTTCTCCATCTCTGGACACCCACAAATCATGATTTCCCTCACTGCAGCTTCAGAGACTCACTTAAAAACCACGGAGGACTTTTCTTTTTAACTTTGCTTCTGTTCCTTCTGCAGTTTGGATGTCTCTGAGTTTCTCAGTGCGTCTCGGAGCAAGAAACGTGGGGTTTTTTTTCCTTTGGAATTTAGGGTGCTAATGAAATTATTCAGCCCCAGCACATGAAATCTAGATATTATGAGATATCTTGGAATTTATCATAGAATCATAGAATGGTTTGGGTTGGAAGGGACCTCAAGGATCATCGAGTTCCAACCCCCCTGCCATGGGCAGGGACACCTCCCACTAGAGCAGGTTGCTCAAGGCCACATCCAACCTGGCCTTGAACACCTCCAGGGATGGGGCATCCACAACGTCCCTGGGCAACCTGTTCCAGTGTCTCACCACCCTCAGAGTCAAAAATTTCTTCCTGAGATCTATCGCGCTGTGATAGG